GATGTTAAGTGGTATTAGCGATGTGTTCACCAAGCTGTGTAAGGTGATGTGTTGGGTCTACAGGAGCAGGAAACACCAGCGGTACCTGGACGAGATGGGGCTACAAGAGTCGCCACCTCTGGCCACCACCTCCACCCACGCCTCTGTCCTCCATACAGACTCCACGCCCATCACTCCTGTTATATACGTCGGTTGGTACTGCTCCTTTGACTAAAAGACTTCACTATATTACATTAGATGCATTGATAGTGATGGGAGATGAAATATTTGTTAGGATGTAGACTCGGCTCATTGTCACTGTAGTATGGTGATGGTACTTCGACCAAAACCAGGAAACAAGTAAGGCTGAACGTAATAATTATTAGTGAGAAAGTGATTTGTGTATCATTAATTTGAATTAGCTGAGTAAGTGCGTAAAAACTATTTGTGAGGGCATGATTTGTGTATCATTACTTGGTGGTAGTTAAGACACATAGGCAACATTTAAGCAACTTTATTCCGAAACGTTTCGCCTACACAGTAGGCAACACAATGGCATCTTGGTACAAAGAGAAAACACCTTGGACAACTTCTTCAAGTGAGAAACGTTCGTTCTGAGAGGGACGTGACCTCTCAGTGGCTACAATCTCACTACTACTACTCTGCACCTCTCTTTCCGACAGTATTTAAGTCTCAACACTGTCACTTGATCTTCAGAAGGTCAAGAGAGACCTGAGCTTGCTACCATCTGCAGCTCATAAGACTGCCATCCCCACGAGCCCCTTTGAGGCGGGGTAGATGGCAGACCAGAGGCCTAGCTTCTCTCTACGAGCCCCGTGAGGGCGGGGAATGTGGCTAGGCCTGGGGACACTTGGTCCCAAAGATGAGGGTGTACTTGTACCTCCTCCCATGGGAGACTTCAGTCTCGAGACACTCCCCAGATAGGGAGCCAAGGCCGGGTCACCACTACTTGGAAAAGACCCGGACCGGGAGAGTACCGGCGAATAAAAAAAAAAAAAAAAACTTGATCTTCAGTTAGTTCCAGACTTTGGAACAGAACTTCTCCAGGCTGAGGGACTGACAACCTCAAATCTACGACTTTAAGGGTGATGGACTGATTACATCGTCTTCACATCTCTACTGTTCCTGCCTACTTTCTGTACTCAACTGAGCAGCGCTGTATAGCCCTTGTGGCTTAGCGCTTCTTTTTGATTATAATGATAATGTACTCGACTGAAGAAGCCTACTGTGTAGGCGAAACGTTTCGGAATAAAGCTGCCTAAATGTTGCCTATGTGTCTTACCTACCATCCTGTCCGTATTGTATACCATTTTGGTATCATTACTTATTGGAGTTGTTGAGTAGGTCAGTTGTTGGTTTCACCAAACAGCCTTCGACTGACTAACAAATTACCTGTCATATTTTCAAACCCCAATTTTAAATCTACTGTTCAGATAATTCTTCACCTTATCTACTCTTCGTTGGCGAAATGTTTTTTCTGATATCCCTGTGCCTCATCTGGGTGTGTAATCTTTATCCATGTTTCTTGTTTCTGTTTCTCCTGTAGTCTGGACTCGGGTACACGATTCTGGAGAGGGTTTTGGGGGACAACGTCCCCGTAGCCCGGTCTGTGACCAGGCCTCCTAGTGGATCAGGACCTGATCAACCAGGCTGTTACTGCTGGCCGCATCAGTGACTTGTAGTGTTTTGTGTAGTGATCATATCTCTTCTAGTTGTATGCACATACATCACCCATTCTTTTCGTTCACTACACTTCCCCCTACACTTCATACATGACTGCAGGAAACATGCGCCATGGATCCTCAAGACCAACACCAATCAAGTTGAGAAAGGCCTCCAAGTTACATCGTTTTACCGGTCAGCAACGTTGCTACTAACGTATCAAAAACGTTTGACAGAAAACTGGCTAAAATATCTACCAGCTCATCAACTACTATTAGGAACCTGATACAAAAACCCAAGCATGATTCTGGGACAAGTGCAGGAATTTACACTATACCATGTGGGGGATGTGACAAGGTATATGTTGGGGAAACAGCCAGATCTCTGGTACATTAGGATCACCGAACACAAAAATTCTTGCAGAAATGACGACTGTAAAAACGCGTGTGTTCAACATAGGGACGATGTTAGACAACTCATGAAATTCAGTGAGGCTAAACTAGTGATTAAAGAAGACGATTTAAGACGGAGAAAATGTATAGAAGCTGCCCTAATTGCTGTCAGTGACAATATAAAGCAAAAGTCCGATAGTTACAGTATCTCAAAATTGCTAATCAACAGGATATTACCCATTCTGGAAACTGATGTAACATGATATCAACAGGTCCCTCTGTAGCCATCTGTCTCACCTCCTTACTACTACTAACTACTGCTAACCACTACTAACTACTACTACACCACTCGACACTTCACCTGACTCCGGCCAATATATATATATATATAGATATATAATTTCTCGTCTTAGTTTTCTCTGTATTAGTACTGAAGAAGTCATTCGTGGCGAAACGTTTCCTTTAATAAATGTCCTGAACTGTACATAATGTCTTTTTCCACATTATGTACAAGTGTAACGTAAGTGGGTATATTAAAGGTTCTTAAAACCTGAGAACTATAAAACGTTTTGTGGAATATTTTGGTAGCCCAAAATAATTTCAACAATCCTACTAACAGAATATAAGAAGATTTTATTTTATTTATTTTGTCTTTGCAAAGGAGGCCTGGTCACAGACCGGGCCACGGGGGCGTTGACCCCCGGAACTCTCTCCAGGTAAACAGTACATTGAGATTTTGTATTTACAATAGTGGTTTGCAATGCAAGGAGAGCCTCTATTATGCCTAGGCATTATGGGCCGCTTATGAGACACTTACCTGGAGTTTACCTGGAGAAAGTTCCGGGGGGTCAATGCTCCCGCGGCCCGGTCTGTGACCAGGCCTCATGGTGGATTAGAGCCTGATCAACCAGGCTGTTACTGCTGGCTGCATGCAATCCAACGTACGAGCCACTGCCCGGCTGGTAAGATAAGATAAGATAAGATTTCGTTCGGATTTTTAACCCCGGAGGGTTAGCCACCCAGGATAACCCAAGAAAGTCAGTGCGTCATCGAGGACTGTCTAACTTATTTCCATTGGGGTCCTTAATCTTGTCCCCCAGGATGCGACCCACACCAGTCGACTAATACCCAGGTACCTATTTGCTGCTAGGTGAACAGGACAACAGGTGTAAGGAAACGTGTCGAAATGTTTCCACCCGCCGGGAATCGAACCCGGCGGGTCAGGTACTGACTTTAGATGCTTGTCCAGTGCCTGCTTGAAGACAGCCAGGGGTCTATTGATAATCCCCCTTATGTATGCTGGGAGGCAGTTGAACAGTCTCGGGCCCCTGACACTTATTGTGTTGTCTCTTAACATACTAGTGACAATATGTGAGAATCTTTATTGAGGAAACGTTTTGCCAGACAGTGTCTTCATCAGTCCAATATAAATCACATCTGCCAGACACTGCAACATCATGGGATCTTGATACAAGGAATTCTTCAACCTTGTCCAACCTTTGGATGAAGACTAGTGGATGGTACCACTATGACCCCGGGAACAACCACACGGATGAACTAGAGGGTGGTTCTTACAGCTTTCCTTTTGGATTTTTCTTCTATTCTTTTTCGGGGCCATCATCATTTATTTTCAACAATAAAATAAAAATAACTGAATCACAAAAGTTGAAAAGATACACAAGATAAGAGAAGTTTTTTTTGTAACGGTCAGAACGTGTAATTACAATTTTGATTTGCTAAGTACAAAGATAGGCACTATCATGCCGGGGCATTTTGGGCAGACTAATTCTAATACATAGTAACTAATTAAAACTAGACAAGATAATAAGTACATATTATCTTGTTCCAAATACAGTGGACCCTCGAGTTTCAAATTTCTTCGTTCCAGATGGCTGTTCAAGTGCTGTTACTGAACTAATTTCTTCTCATCAGGAATAATGTAAATTAGATTAATCTGTTTCAGACCTCCAAAAATGCACTTACAAAAGTACTTACAAAAATACACTTACATAACTGGTCGTGTTGGGAATGGTTCTAAACTCGAGGGTCCGTTGTATACTCACATTTGACAGTATTAGTACTTTTTTTCCTCAAATTTTTTCCAAATATTGGATTTTAAGAATAAAAGTGCATCCGAATACGGCAAGTGTGCTCTAAAGTTCCTCAAAGAGCTAGGTGAAAAGCTCATCATAGAAACCAAGGACCACAGGGCGACCAGCTTCCTCTTTCAGAGACTCAGTGTTGCGATCCAGAGAGGAAATGCCTGCAGCATTCTGGGCACGCGGCCCACCGCAGGGGAGCTGGACGAAGTATTCGATATGTAGCTTTGAGTTACCCATGTTGTTTTACTTTCTGTTGTATTTTTGTGAATGTTTGGCCGAAGTTCTACTGTATTTAATAATAATTTTTATTTCAGCTTGATACAATGTTTATACGAAGACGGGTGATTTAGGTGTGCATGCAGAAAGCTCCTTGTTAGGCCCATCACAAATACATATGCAAAAACTATACATGCATTCGCTGAATATCATGAACATAGGTAAAACATTATGATCAATATATACTTACTCTCAATATCTATAATTTTCACAAACATTAATCAGTCCATTGCGTTCGCTTTAGGTTAATGATCAAAATTGTAATTCCTCTCTATCAAACTTATTAAAGCCATATAGCATGAACTAACAGAATATTCAATCCTCTTGTATTCATTGTAAACTCCTAAATTTAAAATTATACTCGCCTAAGTGACCACATGTACAAAATCACTTATACGTACTGTTATTGCCTCATTAATCTTAAGTTAGTCTTAAGTTTGCCCGAAATGCTCTTCATTTAAAGGAGCTTTCGGCATGTACACCCAATTGTAATAGTCGTTTGTACAGACATGTATCATGCCGAAATAAGCTTCTTATTCTTATAATAATAGTAATCTCCTCTTTGCAGATGTCGGAGAGGAAACCACAGCACAAGACGCCTCAGGACATGCGCCTTCACCCACTCCCAGCAACCAAGGTACATACTCTTAACCCAACTAATTAGCTCTCATAAGCATCTCTGTGGATTTATTGCATTTAGTTAGCAGCAGATTTCTTGGTTATGTTAAATAAATATCAGGAGCCCAAGACTGTTCAGCTGCCTCCCAGCATACATAACGGGGCTTACCAATAGACCCCTGGCTGTCTTCAGGAGGGAGCTGGACATGCACCTAAAGTCAGTACCTGACTAGCTGGGCTTCTATGTTGGATTGTAAGTACGTATGTTTATTTAGACACAGGTACACATAAGCACAATTATACATTGTGCAAATTACCTAAGATAACCCCAAAAAAAGTTAGTGACTTGTTTCCATTGGAATCCTTGCAATATCTTATTATTTGTGTGCAGCCAGCAGTAACAACCAGGTTGATCAGACTCTGATCCATCACGAGGCCTGGTCATGGACTGGGCCGTGGGGGTGCTGGCCCCCAAAGCACCCTCCAGGTATCCTAGGTAATTTACACTATGTATGATAATTGTACTTACGTGTACCTATGCCCAAATAAACTTACTTCATTATGAGTGTAAATTTCTAAGAAGTAAATGTAATTTAAGCCTGAGATTCATTCATCCCTCACACTACCACCCTGTAAACAGAGGCTGATAATGACACCCCAGCCAAGATCTAACCATTCCAGGTAACAGCAAATTCCTGGTCGGCACCTTTATGTCCTGCACTGGCCCAAAGCCAGGATCCGGGAGTAAAAAAAAATTCTCGGAACTCATCAAAGGTATATCAAAGGTCAAGGTTCTATAGGAAGGTTGGTAGTGTGACAGGTAGTGTGACCTGAGGCAAGGTGAACTGTTGGTGTGTATTATATTGAAGAGGATCCCAGAAGGGGATCAAAATACTGTATACAGTATTTTGATCCCCTTCTGGGATCCTCTTTAGCATATTATTCAGTATACAATACAGTGGACCCCCGCATAACGATGGCATCACATAGCGATTTTTCCGCATACCGATTACTTTTATCGCAAAATTTTTGCCGCGCATACCGATTAAAAACCCGCTTACCGATTTTCGTCCGAGACGCGTCCAATGTGCCCTCAGCCAGCCTCACATGTGCCAGCCGTCCCATTGTTTACCAGCCAGCCTCCGCGGTAACATCCAAGCATACACTCGGAATATTTCGTATTATTACAGTATTTTCGGTGCTGTTTCTGGAAAATAAGTGACCATGGGCCCCAAGAAAGCTTCTAGTGCCAACCCTACACCTCAAAGGTAAGAATTACTATAGAAATGAAGAAAGAGATAATTGATAAGTATGAAAGTGGAGTGCGTATAGCCGACTAGTCAAGCTGTACAAGAAACCCCAATCAACCATCGCTACTATTGTGGGCACCAGAAAGACAATCAAGGAAGCTGTTCTTGCCAAAGGTTCAACTGTGTTTTCGAAACAAAGATCGCAAGTGATGGAAGATGTTGAGAGACTCTATTGGTGTGGATAAATGAAAAACAGATAGCAGGAGATAGCGTCTCTCAAGCGATCATATGTGAAAAGGCTAGGAAGTTGCATGAGGATTTAATTAAAAAAATGCCTGCAACTAGTGATGATGTGAGTGAATTTAAGGCCAGCAAAGGTTGGTTTGAGAGATTTAAGAAGCGTAGTGGCATCCATAGTGTGATAAGGCATGGTGAGGCTGCCAGTTCGGACCACAAAGCGGCTGAAAAATATGTGCAGGAATTCAAGGAGTACATAGAAACTGAAGGACTGAAACCTGAACAAGTGTTTAATTGTGATGAAACAGGCCTGTTCTGGAAGAAAATGCCAAGCAGGACCTACATTACTCAGGAGGAAAAGGCACTCCCAGGACATAAGCCTATGAAAGACAGGCTTACTTTGTTGATGTGTGCCAATGCTACTGGTGATTGCAAAGTGAAGCCTTTATTAGTGTATCACTCTGAAACTCCAGAGCGTTCAGGCAAAAGAATGTCCTCAAGGATAATTTGTGTGTGCTGTGGAGGGCAAACAGTAAGGCATGGGTCACTAGGGAATTTTTCTATAACTGGTTACACCATGCATTTGCCCCCAATGTGAAAGATTACCTAACTGAAAAGAAATTAGAACTTAAGTGCCTCCTGGTGTTAGACAATGCCCTGGTCATCCTACAGACGTGGCAGAGCGACTTTATGGGGACATGAGCTTCATTAAGGTGAAGTTTTTGCCTCCTAATACCACTCCTCTCCTGCAGCCCATGGACCAGCAGGTTATTTCCAACTTCAAGAAACTGTACACAAAAGCTCTGTTTGAAAGGTGCTTTGTAATGACCTCAGAAACTCAACTGACTCTAAGAGAGTTTTGGAGAGATCACTTTAATATCCTCAATTGTGTAAACCTTATAGGTAAGGCTTGGGAGGAAGTGACTAAGAGGACCTTGAACTCTGCTTGGAAGAAACTGTGGCCAGAATGTGTAGACAAAAGGGATTTTGAAGGGTTTGAGGCTAACCCTGAGAATCCTGTGCCAGTTGAGGAATCCATTGTGGCATTGGGAAAGTCCTTGGGGTTGGAGGTTAGTGGGGAGGATGTGGAAGAGTTGGTGGAGGAGGACAATGAAGAACTAACCACTGATGAGCTGATAGATCAACTTAAAGAGCAAGAGGCCAGACCTGGGGAAACTGGTTCAGAGGAGGGGACAGAGAAATTGAAGAAGTTGCCTACTACAAAGATAAAGGAAATCTGTGCTAAGTGGCTTGAAGTGCAAACCTTCATGGATGAAAATCACCCTCACACAGCTATTGCAAGCCGTGCTGGTGATTATTACACTGACAATGTTGTGAAACACTTTAGGCAAGTCATAAAGGAACGAGAGGTACAGGCCACTATGGACAGATATCTTGTGCGAAGAAGTCCAGTGACTCTGAAGCTGGCCCTAGTGGCATTAAAAAAAGAAGGGAAGTAACCCCAGAAAAGGACTTATACCTCAAGTCCTAATGGAAGGGGATTCCCCTTCTAAACAGTAAGAAGATAATGCTCTCCCCTCCTCCCATCCCATCAATCATCACCAGATCTTCAATAAAAGTAAGTGTCATTTAATTGTGCATGCCTTTTTCAGTTTGTGTGTATTAAAATTAACATTTCATGTGGTAAAAAAAATTTTTTTCATACTTTTGGGCGTCTTGCACGGATTAATTTTATTTCCATTATTTCTTATGGGGAAAATTCATTCGCATAACGATTATTTCGCATAACGATGAGCCCTCTTGCACGGATTAAAATCGTTAACCGGGGGTCCACTGTATACATATTGTATACAACTTAACAGCCTCTCCTCACTTAGTGACATACTTGTTTACCGACAACTCAGACTTACAACGGGCTCCCTGACCAGTATTCATACCTAAATAATGTATATTAGAGCTGATTTCCTGTATTCTATTTATTACAATATTCAGTATACCAAAAATGTTATAAATGGTGCACATGTGACATTAAAACAATATCAGAAATGGTTGACACAAACTCACTACCATTATAGTATGCTCCTCACTTAACGACGAATTCGTTTACCGACATGGTCTTAGGGACGGAACCTCATTGTTAAGTGAAGAAAGGGTCTAATTTAGTGTGAAAAAATTATTCATGGAATGGATGGGGTTTGAACCAATAGCAAGCGAGTCCTAAAAGTCACTGGCTAGTGTGTTTTAGGACACTTGCCATGGGTTGAAAACCCACCCATTCCCTGATTTGTCTGCAATCAGGTTGTGACGTTAATTTACTGTAATTTGAGTAACAATACTAATACTATACTTATTTTGCATTTGTCAAAGCTGATGATGGTATTAAATTTCAGGTTTGGTCGGACCTTACCTCTTGAAGAAGGAAACTCATTGTTCAACAGTGTTGGACCAACTGCTGAGAGACGACACTTACACAGACGTGACCCTCACAGCTGAGGGTCAGAGTCTGAGGGCACACAGGGTTAGTTTTTCACTTTCATATATTCATCGAGTCTCTATTTTCAAACTTCTCACGTTACACACATTCCCACTTACAAACTAGTACATAATAATATGTTAGATGTGTTGCGTTTTTTTAACCGCATTATCGGCACGTCTCTGGCAAGAGAGTGATGGGGTGAGTGATGATGAAAGTGTTTCTTTTTTTTGGGACACCCTGCCTTGGTAGGAAATGGCTGATGTGTTAAAAAAATGATAGGTAAAAGGCACACATGCCATTTTATCTAATATACTAATGTATTAGTATTAGTTATGTTGTTTTCCCCTTTTAACTTTGATGGTATGGTTCCCACTACATGTTCTAGTGTGGGGTAGCTTACATAAAAGCCTTATAAAGTTTAGGGTAATACAGTGGACCCCCGCATAACGATCAGCTCCCAATGCGACCAATTATGTAAGTGTATTTATGTAAGTGCGTTGGTACGTGTATGTTTGGGGGTCTGAAATGGACTAATCTACTTCACAATATTCCTTATGGGAATAAATTCGGTCAGTACTGGCACCTGAACATACTTATGGAGTGAAAAAATATCGTTAACCGGGGGTCCACTGTACTTATGTTTATGATTGGTCGTCCTCAGTTAGTAGAATCTTTCACCAACCCTCTCAACAGATATGTGTTATCTACCATTTTATCTCATACACTGTATTCTTTTTTTATAGATTGTTTTATGCCTGGCAAGTCCATATTTCCGCCAAGTTTTGAGTCGGGAATTGAATGTGCAAAGCGTAGTTCTTCTGCGTGACATTAAGTTTGCTGAACTACGTAACATCATTAATTTTATTTACACGTAAGTACAGTGTCTGCACTCTGAGGGAAGAGTGGAGATAAATTGCAGTAATTGAACTATAGTACAGTGGACCCCCGCTTTACGATCAGCTCCCAATGCGACCAATTATGTAAGTGTATTTATGTAAGTGCGTTTGTACGTGTATGTTTGGGGGTCTGAAATGGACTAATCTAATTCACAGTATTCCTTATGGGAACAAATTCGTTCAGTAATGGCGCCTGAACATACTTCTGGAATGAAATAATATCATAAGCCGGGGGTCCACTGTACTGGCATACCTCGGGCAAGACAGTGATGGAGTGAGTGATGATGAAAGTGTTTTCTTCTTTTTTGGGTCACCTGGCCTTGGTGGGAAACAGCTGACATGTTAAAAAAGAAAGTATTTGTATACAGTACATGCTATGTGTAATCTCGTATATTTTAATAACTAATTTTGTAAGTTATATCTGAACTGACTTTTATTTTCCTGTCAGTACTTTGAATTAGACGTATTAGAAAATCTGTGGTCTTAGTTATAGTCTGCATTTGCCTAAAATTTTGCATATACATGTACAATGACTTTAAATAAGATTTTTTAAATTTTTTCATTGCATTACAAATGCATTCATGAATTAGGATTTTGTATTCAATACTTTGAAACAAAGGGACAGGAAAAGGAATTATGTATATGGTGCATTTTGTCCTGGAGGTGGGAAGTACAGGGTTTGGGATATTTGCTGTTTAGAGTGACATCTAAACTGCTGTATCCGCATGCCTCTGGAAGACAGTGATAGTGTGAATGATGGTGAAAGTGTTTCTTTTTTAGGTCACTTTGCTTTGGTGGGAGATGGCCAGTGTGTTAGAAATATATATGAAAATGAAAATGTTTATTTCCTTGCAAAACTTACAACGTGTGGTTTACATTTTTTTTTTTTCAACAAACCAGCCGTATCCCACCGAGGCGGGGTGGCCCACCGAGGCAGGGTGGCCCAAAAATAAAAACGAAAGTTTCTCTTTTTAAATTTAGTAATTTATACAGGAGAAGGGGTTACTAGCCCCTTGCTCCCGGCATTTTAGTCGCCTCTTACGACACACATGGTTTACGGAGGAAGAATTCTGTTCCACTTCCCCATGATGTGGTTTACACATTATAAAATATTAATTACAAGGAAGGACGCTAGCATGCCTAGGCATTTCAGGCAGACTAATACTAATTCTTACTCTATACCGACACAGGTTATGGAGCACACTGATATAAAAGTTAGGTAATGGAAGTGATTGATATTAGTAATGGGAATGGTTTTATCTCAGCATGATACATCCCAGTGGAAATAAGTCACTTAGACTTTTTGTGTTATCCCAGGTTCTCTACACACATGCTGCTCTGTATGATAATCTATGTAACTGTATTTGTGTATACCTGAATAAACTTACAATGTTACTAGAAAAGCTCCTATATTGGGAGAGTATATTAATAATTACAATCCATTCCTCAGGAACTATATGACCCCTAGTTTTATAATAATTATTTACAAAGAAATCTGTAAATAAATAAGCATTGTATAAATTATGTAATGTATAAAACAGCAAAACGTTTTTTTTCCGGGTCACCCTGCCTCAGTGGTAGACCACCGATGTGTTAAAAAAAATATTATTATTAACTACTATTGTTGTATGAAACTTGAAAACCTGGAAAAATTAACCAGGTATGTTCTAAAATAATATTACTGTTTAACCCTTAAACTGTCCAAACAGATCTACGTTCACATGCGTAGTGCTCCAAAAGTAGATCTACGTTTTTTTACATATTTTCATATACAGTGGACCCCCGGTTAACGATATTTTTTCACTCCAGAAGTATGTTCAGGTGCCAGTACTGACCGAATTTGTTCCCATAAGAAATATTGTGAAGTAGATTAGTCCATTTCAGACCCCCAAACATACACGTACAAACGTACTTACATAAATACACTTACATAATTGGTCGCATTCGGAGGTGATCGTTATGCGGGGGTCCACTGTATAACACAAAAAAAAAGCAGATCAAAGTTTTTTTACACATTTTCAAATGTAAAAAAAAAAATAATCTACTTTTTTTACATACTTTCAAATGTTGAAAAAACGTAGATCTACGTTTGGACAGTTTAAGGGTTAATACAGTATTGGGATACAAACCAGAAGGGAATATAAAATAAGAGCTTTTCAGTTTTCTATATTACGTTTAACAGATAGCATTACAAATTTGTTCAATGATTGCATTGAGAACATTATTGTTTTCTGCATATTGTACTTTGAAGAACAATGACTTATTTCCACTAGGGTCATCAAAAATGTACCCAGTTGAGCAGAGACTAATGGGAAAGTATCTGTAAGTCTGTTGTCCCTTTTTATGTGGTGGTACTTTTGACATACCTTATACCTTTGATGAGTTTTGAGTCTTACTACTCCCAGAGCCCAACCATGGGCCAGGCTTGTCTGGTGCTAGCCTGGTCAACCAGGTTGTTGCTGGTGGAGGCCCGCTGCTCGATACTCTAGAGCTCAAGAATAAAAAGTCACAGTACAGTGACTTTGAACAATACACAAATAACCCACACAGAAAGAAACTTTTGATGTTTCGGTGTGTAAGCATTAGATACACAAATAACTAGTACATAGGAGAGGAGAAACTTACAATAACATTTTGGTCCAACTTGAACTATTTACAAAGTCACAAGTTGGACCTAGACAGCATCTTAAGCTCCTCTTTCCTATGTGCAGGTTATTTGTATATTCCAGTCAGGGTATTGTGATTTTTTGTTCTTTAACTATTAGGATTAATCTGCCTGAAATGCACCTCATGCTAGGTTCTTTCTTTTGTGCCAAACGATATTTTAATACATGTAAACTACATTTTGTATACAGTAAGTCCTACATTTACAAACACGTTGAGAACCTTCTGTATCATTATTATACACGATACAGGTCCCCAACGTGTTCATGACTTGAAGGTTTCCTGTGTTATGAATATTATACACAGCTCCCCAATGTGTTTGTAATCTGAGGACTTTCTGTACAGCAGAAAAGAAATACTGTATTTCGCGGCTTATAAGACTTTAGTTTGAATGGCTCGGCACTGGACGTAACTGGGAGAGCTACAGTCCACCCCACGCCCCAAACTTATACTATTATTATAATCAAAAAGAAGCGCTAAGCCACAAGGGCTATACATTATTATTATTATTATAATAAAAAAGAAGCGCAAGGGCTATACAGCGCTGCCCCCAAACTTATAGCTCCTGTCACTGACCTTCAGTTTATAGGATGCAGTCTGTTTTTTTCGAGACATTTCATGGAAAAAAAAAAGTGTCTAATAAGCCACAAAATACGGTAAATTTGTATTGCATTAACTAATAACAAAGTGAGGGTCTAGTTAATGGTCTACGTCAGTGTTATGTTATGTCTTAATACTTTGATAGTAAGGTTCTCACTATATGTTCTAGTGTGGGGTATTATAATCAAAAAGAAGCGCTAAGCCACAAGGGCTATACAGCTCTAGTGGGGTAGCTTTTACATAAAGGCCTTATGTCTAGGGTAATACATTCATGATTGATTGTCCTCACTCTCTGAAATCCTTTCTCCAGCCCTCTTCACAGGTTATTTAAACTACCTCTATAAAAAAAACAATATATATATATATATATATACGTATATAACTATATTTTAAATAGATATGTACAGAATATACAATTACTCACATATTCAAAACATAGGCCTGCACACCCCTTAGCTGCTCTCCTAGGACAGTCCACATGGTGTATCTCAACAATTTTCCCTTCCCTCTTCTTGACTAAACTCTGGGCTAACCAATGTTTTGACACACTTTAGTCACCCTGGGTATGGTGGCCACAACTTAAGTTATAAAAACTCACCCCTGGAGCACACATAATGGCCAAAAAATTAGGAGGAGGACCCAGAGGTCCTGCCAGCTTGAAGTCCACCAAGAGAGAGAGAGAAAGAGAGAGGGAGGAGCCTAGCTAAGCTCCTCCCACACCCACCAAAAAACAAAAGACTGTTGCCAAGCACAATTCTCTAGTTACCACAATTCTACCACTTTATTTTACTGTTACAAAAAGAAATACAACTTTATAAACTACTTATTTAAATTGTGTGTGTGTGTGTGTGTGTCTATAGTATAACTTATTATATTGAGAAAAACAGGCTTGACTCTGCTGCCTTACAGCCATAAGAGTGATCTGCCCTTATGACATTTAGAGCTGAGTCCCCATCAATTCAATATAATTAGGTATTCCAGAGTAACTGTTACAGATACATAAATACATGTTGGGTCCTATAGCCCCCATAACAGTCAGACTAAAACATCATCATAAGTTTCTTTCTCCTACATGCAGGTTATTTGTATTTGGAGTTGATTGTTATGGGTCACATTCTTGGGAAGAGAACCTGAAGATCCTAATGGAGAGAATCTATATTGCTTGAAATTCTTGGGTTAGCTTGGGCTACCAACTCTCTGGGGGTCAATAATACAAAATTTCTCCCTTAATAGTGATTTATATTTTTATTGTAGTGGTGAAGCTACTGTGGATGCATCGGAGCTTGAGTCCTTCATGAGAACAGCGGAAATGTTGGAGATTTCATCACTGTGTGAAGGACAGAAATGCATCAGTGGTCGTGGTCTTCACACACAGGGAAACTTCAGTTCAGGGTTTAGCATTGCTGATTTTGAACGCCTTCTGGGAAGCAAGAGGTCCAGAAAAGATTCTTCACCTACTCCTTGTAAAACACGGAGAGTATCAGGTACTGGTACTTGTCTATACCATCACATCTGAACTGTTGTCTGTGTGCCTCTGGCAAGACAATGATAGTGTGAACAATGGTGAAAGTGTTTCTTTTTTGGGGTCATCATGCCTTGGTGGGAGACATCCAGCATTTAAAAGAAAAAATCACATTAGCTGAACTTGTACTTCTGGTTCTGGAGGTGGGATGTATAAAGCTACTACTATCCTGCACTAGGGATGAGGATGTAGTGGTTATGGGGGCAGGAAGTACAGTACAGTGTCTGCACACTGAAGGATGGGTGGGGATGTTGTGGATGTGGGATGTACAGTTCAGTGCCTGTACTGAAAGATTGGTGGGAATGTTGTCGAGGTGGGATGTACAATGTCTACACACTGAAAGATGAGTGGAAATGTTGTGGTTGTGGAGATGGGATGTACAGTACAGTGCCTACACACCGAAGGATGGGTGGGGAGGGGGAAGGCAGGGACATCCAAGAATTTTCTGGGGAAAAGGATGACCATCCTTGCCTGAACTGAAGGAGTGTGGTGGTAGCCAGCCATGTGCACAGCAAGATCACTTATTAGTGTACAGGTGCATGTGGATTAGAGAAGGATGGTGGGTTATTTTCCATGTGTGAATGTCCTAGAATTGTAAGAGTAATTTTAACATCAAACTTTTCAATAAGTCAATAAATTAGTCCAAATCTTATGAAGTGCCGCTTCGCTGGTTTCTCTTTGTGTTTGTAATGTGTAAATGTAATTAATTTTTTTTTAATGCACTGACCATCACCCACCAAGTCAAGGTGACCTAAAAAGAAAAACTAAAGAATTAAAAGAAAAACTAATGTTTTTCTTTTTACATTTAGTAACTTATACAGAAGGGGTAAATGTAGTTAAATCATTAAATTAATGGCAAAAATTGAGATTTATTGATTCACATTGAAATGTTTGCCTGGGTTTGTATACCTTGCTTGTGTGTTTAGAAATAAGTAAGTGAGAGAGTTCAACCAAGTAGCTGAGTATTAGCCAAAAGTTTGTAGTTATTAGTTATACCTTGATGTAAATGTCTTATAATGACCCAGGGGAGGGGGAGCTTATTCTTTTATGTAAATAATGTCTTTTAGAGTAACCCAGGGGAGGGAGGGAGCCATGGTACCTCGGAATCTACCCCTGGAAGATGCTGTGGTTCTGGAGGGGGGGGGGCATACATTACCTACACTCAGAAGGATGAGCTGGAATATTCTGATTCAGTGGATTAGTCAGAGGGCAGAAGAGGGGTTGTTGAGGTTGTTTGGTCATATAGAGAGAATGGATCAAAGTAGAATGACATGGAGAGCATATAAATCTGTAGGGGAAAGGAAGGCAGGGTAGGGGTCCTCCTCAAAAAGGTTGGAGGGAGGGGGTAAAGGAGGTTTTGTGGGCGAGGGTCTTGGACTTCCAGCAAGCGTGCGCGAGCGTGTTAGATGGGAGTAAATGGAGACGAATGGTTTTTGGGACCTGACGAGCTGTTGAAGTGCGAGCAGGGTAATATTTAGTGAAGGGATTCAGGGAAACTGGTTATTTTTATATAGCTGAACTTGAGTACTGGAAATGGGAAGTACAATACCTGCACTGTAAAGGCGGGGTTCGGGATATTGGCAGTTTGGAGGGATATGTTATATATCTTTATATATGCTTCTAAACTGTTGTTTCTGGATGCCTCTGCAAAAACAGTGATTATGTATGAGTGAGTTGAAAGTGTTGAAAGATAATGAAAATATTTTCTTTTTGGGGATTTTCTTTCTTTTTGGGTCACCCTGCCTCAGTGGGAGATGGCTGAATTGTTGAAAAAAAAAAAACTAACTAAATATCAGTATTCAAAAGTAAATAAATGCCAGTAACAGATTTGCTGTCTTCATGTTGGGTAATTATCTTAAGTTTCATCTCCAAAGTAATTGCTTTCCCACCATTGTCAAATCGAAATATCATTAGTCACGGAGCACCTGTAATTTAAGAAAAATGTACGTATTTCCAAAATAATAATGATCCAAATTTCTTTAATGAATGCTGTTTGCTTTCTAGGGGAAGGCCAGTCATCAAGATGCTCATCTGCAGAACCAGCAGCCACCAGCATCCCTCTGTCACTTATAAAGGAGGAACCTGGCTGCGAGACTGACTCTATGTTACAGTCCAAATCTGCTCAAGTAGTGAAAGAGAACGAGTTGTTAGATGTGGTTGAGAGAAATGAAGGAGGAGGTGAAAGTGGGGGATCAAGAAGAGAATCTCTGGAATCTGTAGGTGGCTTTGCAGCTATTGCAGGAGTTCAGAAGACCTTGCCCAATGCAGATGACGTCAGTGAAGATGTTTTTTCGTCCACTGCCGAGTTGTCACCAAACTCGCAGTTAGCAGAAGCTGCAAGACAGAATGCAGTTACCAGTGTTCCTGACACAATGTCAGTTCCTGGAAGGTAATAATATTAATACATAATTTATTTGTATTTTGTTTTATGGTAACCTGCGAGTAAAGCTATTGAGAAATAAATTACCCCAAGATTATTACGGTATATGTACAGTGCCTGCACTCTGAAGGAGGGGTGGGGATTTCTGCAGGTTTAGATTGTAGTATTGGTGCTTCTCTGGTGATGGAGTGAAAGATGGTAAAAGTTTCTTCTTTTTTGGGTCACCCTTCCTCTGGGAGATGGCTGGTTTGTTGAATTTTCTTTATAATGTATATAAAACTGAAATCATGTGTAGGTCATTCACTGTGGGGAGGAGTGGAGGCTTGAACCTCTGTCATAGAAGTGCAGAATATAGGTGTTACTTTTACCAGGCTTGGTGAGGTTAAATAGTTGGAGGACGGTCATTAGCAAAGGAATAACAACTTTTCTTTCTTTCTTTCAACAAACTGGTCATATGCCACAGAAGCAGGGTGGCCCAAAAAGAAAAACAAAAGTTTCTCTTTTTAACTTCAGTAATGGGTACAGGAGAAGGGGTTACTAGCCCCTTGCTCCCGGCATTTTAGTCAACTCTTACGACACTTATGACTTACAGAGGAAGGATTCTGTTCCACTTCCCCATGGAGATAAGAGGAAATAAACAAGAACTAGTAAGAAAATAGAAAAACCCAGAGGGGTGTGTGTATATATATATATATATGATGAATAGCAACTTGATATTATTAGTAACAAGCAATACTGTTATTACATGGTTGAATTATCAGTGAAGAGAAATGACTTGTGGTCATAGTTCTCTTCAAGGAGGGACAAGCACCTTAATGCTAGTGAAGGACTTCTGAGCTAAGGAATTGGAGCTACCCTCCCCTTCCTCAGATCAAATCTGATTCCCTTCCAGTCCCTAGGTACTGTAAGGCCTATACAGGATTAGCATTTCCCCATAAATAATAATGTAGGCATGGTTGTCATTACACACCAAGGCAAAGATGTCTTAAACAAAATCCATAAAAACCACAGGACGTTAACGATGTTCTCTTGTTTGCACTCTGGTTTACGTGGAAATTGACATAATTAATAAGTCTGAAATATGAAACGAATCGTAGGATAGACAGTGAAAAAAAACTAAGTGTAGTAGTGATGTGTCTATGGAAGAAATTTTCAGTGGATGCAAAAATGAGAATACGGTACAGGATATCAAGCCTTGTTATATGGATGTGACAGCACTGTATGATTTTTGTGGGTTTAGCACTTAGTTTTGATTATAATTATAATATATGGGTGTGAGGCATGGTCTTTAAATATTGCAGCAAGGAGGCTGGAGGCGGTGTTTGAAAGAAATATATTGAATACATGCAGAGAATAAGTATCTGTGCACCTCTGGCAACACAGTGATAGTGTGAACGATGGTGAAAGTGTTTCTTTTTCGGGTCACCCTGCCTTGGTGGGAGACAGCCAGTGTGTTAAAAAGAAAATTAATAAAATATTAAATTTATGAGGGGAGAGCTAAACTTGTAGGGGGTCATACAGAGTCTGGGGAAAGAAATTAGATGGTCCTGCTTTACAGAATTTCACTAACGCAGCAGTTTTCAATTATAGCCATTCCTCATTTATTCAGACTTCTACAGTAAATATATTCACCACTCACTATAAGCTAAGGACGAAAATTTTTTAGGGTAAATAATGTGTGTACTGTACGTACCTTTTTTAGGCCTAGCTCTATTGTTCACTTAACATATGATAGTGTAAACTTGTTATCAGACTTGTATGTACACTTGAAAGTGAAAAAAGACTATGATTCACATTACGGCAATTTTCACTTTACAGCAGTAGCCCAGAACCTAACTTGCTGTATAAGTGGGGCCCTCCTGAATAATTTAGGAATTAGTGAAGGGGCTGTTGAGATGGTTTGGTAATTTATAAAGGCAGAAGTAAAGTTGACCAAGATGATATATAAATTTGGAGTGGATGGAGGGAATTATAGGGAGTGTACAATTTCACCCCCTGAATTATTCCTAACATACCATAACATCCCTCTTCTGTAAGCCACGTGTGTCGTAAGAGGCGACTAAAACTCCGCCAGAAAGAGACTGTATGTAAAACAACAACAATAACAAAACATTGTCCTTTAATTTCTTTGTCTTATTCTCTGTACAGTAAGTGTTTACAACATGAATTAATGTTGAATATAACATCACTACTGCCTGCAGTATCATGCCTCAGACCTACATAAATGTATTGGCACTTTTTTTTTTTTTTAACATGCCAGCCGTCTCCCATTGAGGTCTGGTAACCCGAAAAAGAAGAAATACTTAAACTATTTCTCACTCCATCACTGCCTTGCCATAGGCATGCCAATACTACAATTCAGATGCCCTTTTAAACTGCAAATATCCTCACCCCTCATTCAGAGTGCAGACACTGTACTTCCCACCTCCGGACTCAGGTTCGACTAACCAGTTTTCCCGAATCCCTTCATATTACAGTGGACCCCCGCTTAACGATCACCTCCAAATGCGACCAATTATGTAAGTGTATTTATGTAAGTGCGTTGGTACGTGTATGTTTGGGGGTCTGAAATGGACTAATCTACTTCACAATATTCCTTATGGGAAAAATTCGGTCAGTACTGGCACCTGAACATACTTCTGGAATGAAAAAAGTTCGTTAACCGGGGGTCCACTGTATTTATTATAATGAAATCTAAGTGATAAACCACCAGGGAATCCCTTTATAAATGTTACCTTGCTCACACTCCAACAGCACACCGAGTCATAAAGCTACTTCCTCAACTTGTATCTAAAATACTCGCATGTCTGCTGGATGTCCAAGCCCCTCACATACAAAACCACCTTCAACCTCTCCATCCAGTCTTTCCTAGGGTGACTCCTACCCCACTTTCCCTCCACTACAGATTTATACATCCTCCCTATACTCAGATATATTCCCATTTTCCATCTATTGATAAACTTTTTTTTCCCAGACTCAACACTCCAGTTACACTTCGCTCATCTACTTTGTGGATCAACTTATCTTTCATGCACCCATCTCGCATCCTTTCCTAATTATCACAGTATATATAGTGGCTACATGTTCTTCCCTGCAATCTGATGTCTTGTCTTTCATTACCAAGACTTGTTACTCTTTCCTGTGTTTACTTTTGTACATTTAAAACCTCCTATTAAATAACCCATGTCTAGTTCTTAAGTATTAGGATTAGTTTGCCTGAAATTCACCACATGTTAGCGGCTTTCTTTTGTGCCTAACAGTATTTTATTGTATGTAAACTACATTACCTGTATACTGCAGAAAAGAGATGAATTTATATTGTATATTAATACCTCATGGTGGATCAGTCTGATCAACCAGGCTGTTGTTGCTGGTTGCATGCAATCCATGATATGAACCACAGCCTGGCTGGTCAGGGTACTTCCCACTCCCAAACTCTTTCACCAGCATCTCTAACGACTCTCCTAAAAGCACTATGCCATCATCAGATACTAATTGTGACTGAGATACATGATGAAATACATATTAATTAGTGTATTATTTGCTTGCAGATGTCCGTATTGCCCTCACTTGCCCCAGAAGTATGAAGGTGTGGCTATGATGCGACATCTTCTAGTTGCACACCCGTGCAAGCCAGCTTTTCCCTGCGACTCTTGTTGGCGTGTCTTTGTCAAGAGAGTTTACTTCAAGGCCCACCAACAGAAGTGCTCACCACCTATTTCTTAAGACTTTTATATGAAGAATATTCTAATACACTTAGTTAATTTCTTTTCGAAAAGTAAATCCCATAAGGATGTAAATTAAAAGACAGAATGGAAAGGAACTATTTTAAACTTGGAAGGTGGCAGTAAAGCAATTGCAAAGAACTACAGACCAATAGTACTAACATCCCATATCATAAAAATCTTGGAGAGGGTTCTAAGCAGCAAGATCACCAACCACCTGGATACCCATCACTTAACACAACCAAGGGCAATATGGGTTTAGAGCAGGTCGCTCCTGCCTGTCCCAGTTCCTGGACCACTATGACAAGGTCCTGGATGCTATAGAGAATAAAATGCAGATGTAGTATACACAGACTTTGCAAAAGCTTTTGACAAGTGTGACCATGGTGTAATAGCACACAATATGCGTAATAAAGGAATAACAGGAAAAGTTGGTAAATGGATCTATAACTTCCTGACAAATAGAACACAAAGAGTAATATTATTATTATTATAATAAAAAAGAAGCACTAAGCCACAAGGGCTATACAGCGCTGCAAAGAGTAATAGTAAACAGTAAAGTCCGAGGCAGCTATGGTGAAAAGCTCTGTTCCACAAGGCACAGTACTCGCTCATTCTATTCCTCATCCTCATATCTGACATAGACAGAGATGTCTTCATTTGTGGATGACAGCTGGATTGCCATGAGAGTGACCTCCAACAAAGACACTGCAAGACTCCAAGTGGACATGAACTAAATCTTCAAATGGGTCACTCAAAACAATATGAAGTTTAATGAAAAGAAATTTCAACTACTCAGATATGGAAAACTTGAGGAAATTGACACTGTATTAGGGTATATGACAAATTCTAACCATTCAGTAGAACGAAAAAGTAAAGTGAAGGACCTGGGAGTGATAATGTCAGGGAATCTCGCCTTCAAAGACGACAACAATGTGTCTACCGCATCCGCTAGGAAAATGATAGGATGGAAAATGAGAACCTTCAAAACTAGGGATGCCAAGCCCATGATGATTCTCTTCAAATCGCTTGTTCTCTCTAGTCTGGAATACTACTGTACACTAACTGCCCCCTTCAAAGCAGATGAAATTGCTGACCTGGAGAGTGTACGAAGAATTTTCACAGCACACACAAGTACAATAAGGCACCTATATTACTGGGAATGATTGAAGGCCCTTGATTTGTATCCCCTGGAATGCAGGCGAGAGAGATACATGATAATATACATTTTGAAAATCCTAGAGGGATTAGTACCAAACTTGTACATACATGAAAATCACTCCCTATGAAAGCATAAGACTCGGCAGGAGATGCAACATTCCCCAATGAAAATCAGGAGCGCCACGAGTACATAGAGAGAACACAATAAGTGTCCAAAGCCCAAGACTGTTCAACTGCCTCCCAGCATACATAAGGGGGATTACCAATAGACCCCTGGCTGTCTTCAAGAAGGCACTGGACAGGCACCTAAAGTCAGTACGTACCTGACCAGCCAGTCTGTGGTTCATACATCAGTTTGCATGCTGTCAACAGTAGCAGCCTGGTTGATCAGACCCTGATCCACCACGAGGCCTGGTCTCAGACGAGCCACAGGGGCATTGACCCCCGAAACCCTCTCCAGGTAAATAGTAAACCCCAGGAAAGCCATTCAGTGTTGGGGGAGTGAGAAGTAACTTCCCAGTTGGGCTGTGGTTTGTATATTGGATTGCATGCAGCACAATACAGTGACTGGAACAATACAAATAACCTGCACATGGGAGAGAGGAGCTTTTGACGACGTTTCACTCTGAATTGGAACATTTATTAAGTTAGTGCAACTTAGTAAATGGCCCAGGTTGGACTGAAATGTCGTCATAAGTTCCTCTCTGTGTGTGGATTATTTGCATACAGCTGTAATTCCCTGATGGGTTGCTGAAACTAAAATGTATAAATCCTTTCCATTTTGCATTTTATTTTCCATTCATTTTGGATTTTATATTTTGAGTCAACAGTGTTTGACACATTTTTTTTTTTTTTTTTTTTATTATCACACCGGCCGATTCCCACCAAGGCAGGGTGGCCCGAAAAAGAAAAACTTTCACCATCATTCACTCCATCACTGTCTTGCCAGAAGGGTGCTTTACACTACAGTTTTTAAAACTGCAACATTAACACCCCTCCTTCAGAGTGCAGGCACTGTACTTCCCATCTCCAGAACTCAAGTCCGGCCTGCCGGTTTCCCTGAATCCCTTCATAAATGTTACTTTGCTCACACTCCAACAGCACGTCAAGTATTAAAAACCATTTGTCTCCATTCACTCCTATCAAACACGCTCACGCATGCCTGCTGGAAGTCCAAGCCCCTCGCACACAAAACCTCCTTTACCCCCTCCCTCCAACCCTTCCTAGGCCGACCCCTACCCCGCCTTCCTTCCACTACAGACTGATACACTCTTGAAGTCATTCTGTTTCGCTCCATTCTCTCTACATGTCCGAACCACCTCAACAACCCTTCCTCAGCCCTCTGGACAACAGTTTTGGTAATCCCGCACCTCCTCCTAACTTCCAAACTACGAATTCTCTGCATTATATTCACACCACACATTGCCCTCAGACATGACATCTCCACTGCCTCCAGCCTTCTCCTCGCTGCAACATTCATCACCCACGCTTCACACCCATATAAGAGCGTTGGTAAAACTATACTCTCATACATTCCCCTCTTTGCCTCCAAGGACAAAGTTCTTTGTCTCCACAGACTCCTAAGTGCACCACTCACTCTTTTTCCCTCATCAATTCTATGATTCACCTCATCTTTCATAGACCCATCCGCTGACACGTCCACTCCCAAATATCTGAATACGTTCACCTCCTCCATACTCTCTCCCTCCAATCTGATATTCAATCTTTCATCACCTAATCTTTTTTGTTATCCTCATAACCTTACTCTTTCCTGTATTCACCTTTAATTTTCTTCTTTTGCACACCCTACCAAATTCATCCACCAATCTCTGCAACTTCTCTTCAGAATCTCCCAAGAGCACAGTGTCATCAGCAAAGAGCAGCTGTGACAACTCCCACTTTGTGTGTGATTCTTTATCTTTTAACTCCACGCCTCTTGCCAAGACCCTCGCATTTACTTCTCTTACAACCCCATCTATAAATATATTAAACAACCACGGTGACATCACACATCCTTGTCTAAGGCCTACTTTTACTGGGAAAAAATTTCCCTCTTTCCTACATACTCTAACTTGAGCCTCACTATCCTCGTAAAAACTCTTCACTGCTTTCAGTAACCTACCTCCTACACCATACACTTGCAACATCTGCCACATTGCCCCCCTATCCATTGTAAGTCAAGGAGCACCTGTACACCAGACAGTGGATGATACCCCCAGATGTTGCACATGTCTAACTGTCCATCTTGTCAGTACTGAATACCACTGATACAAAACTTACAAATGCTCAAAGTTACCCACATTCCCACTTATAAATTCCTGAGTTATACACTTCCCCACTTACAAAATGATGCACGTAGAAACCAAGTTTTTGTATTGTCAGATCTGCAGTGCAAAAGTATAACACATAACTGACATGTTTTTATACCAGCAACTCATTTACATGTAGAAAAACAGGAATGAAACTCATTTGTAAGTCGGTGACCACAGGAATTCATTATTTTCACATTTTCATAGTTAACTCAGGATTGTTATCGGTAAATATGATTGAATTTATTTTTCTTTTTTTAAGAAAAACGCAAAAATATTTAACAAAGTTTTTCAGTGAAGAAAAACGCATGTAAACACAATAGCATTAAGATTTTATCAAAGAATTTGCTGTGTGTTACTAGAGATATTTATATTTCTCTATATAACTGCTATTTGCTGTAAGAACATCAAAGTGTTAGTTTTAAGTCAAAATGTATGGGTGTTGCAGTGAAGTTTAATTTATATCTAATAAATTTTTTATGGATGTTCAAAATTTGTTTATATAGAAACATTCAGTAATATAGTTCAGATGCAGTATTATACTTCAGTACTAAACTTCTGATGCTCCTACAAACTGTAACATCCTCACCCATCCTTCAGAATACAGGTACTGTACTTCCCACTTCCAGGACTGTAACATTTTCATTGATCCTTCAACATACAGGCACCGTACTTCCTAGTTTTTATCATTTAGGACCTGGTTGACTTGGTCCCACCTTATGTTTTTGTTATTGAAGTTGAATTTGGTGTAGGCTCCCTCGTGGCTGATCACATTTTGTTGGTCTGGGGCCCCACGCATTTATGTCTGAACCTCTGTTATGTTGTGATCTGAGCATATTGTTTTTGATATGGTAATATTTCATACCAGATCATCATTGTTAGTGATGATGAGGTCCAGTGTATTCTCCAATCTTGTTCGCTCTATTATTTGATGATTTAAGGAGAATTTGTTGGAGATTTAAAAGCTCGTGTTTGTGAGAGTTCTCAACTAAGCTGCCTCCTGGTGTTATCTCTGCTACAACATTATTTGCTACATTCCTCCATTTTAGGTGCCTCAGGTTGAAATCTCCCAGGAACAAGATGTTTGGGGCAGGAGCTGGAAGACTTTCCAGACAGTGGCCTATTTTCAGAAGCTGTTCCTGGAATTGTTGGGAAGTTTCATCCGGAGGCTTGTATACAACCACAATGACCAGGTTTTGGTTCTCAGTCTTTACTGCCAAAACTTAACCCTTTGAGGGTCGACAGGCCCTCTCCGAGACTCGTTCTCAGGGTCGGCCAAATTTAAAAAAAAAAAAAAAAAAAAAAAAATTCTTGTGAAAAGATAGAGAATCTTTTCCTGATCATAATGACACCAAAAGTATGAAATTTGATGGAAAACCTACGGAATTATGCTCTCGCGAAGTTAGCGGTCTCGGCGATGTTTACACATCGGCGATTTTGCCTACTTTGAACCCCATTTTTGGCCAATTCCACTGTACTAGTCGACAAAAAACATGAATATTTCACTAGAACTCCATTTTTTCTATTGAATGAGTGCAAGAAACCACCCATTTACCAATTTCAACTATCCAGTACAGTGGTCAGAATTTAGCAATTTTGCCAATTTCACACAAATTTCAAAAGATGCCAATTTCCAAATAGGGTCCAGAATAAACAAGAAAGACATTCCTGGCACTAAAATGACATTTCCTCTGTTCATTAGTCACGTCTCAAGGCCCCTCTTACATTCTTTTGCTTTCCACTTTGAATTTTTTTCTCACAAAAAATAGAAGATTTACTGTTATGCAGACTACTGCATTACTGTAAAAAATGGTATAAATAATATTGGCGCACTTGCGAAAGAATATTAGACTCACCAGTTGACGTGTATTGGACGCTTGGCATATGTTTACTTTTGAACTTTGGTAAAAATCGAACATTTCTGCTGCTTTGAGCTCAATTTTAAGGTACTTTTCATTGTAAAACCAGTCAAAATCAATTCAATTTCTGTAATATGTCTTCCATTTTATAAAATGAGACCAAGAAAACTAGAATTCAACAATAAATACCATACGAAAATACAGTGCAAAGTCGCTGTTTTATTCCAAAAAAATGGTCAGTTTTTTTTTTCTCATTATACAGTGTCCTTGGGTCGTAAGCCGTACTAGTACGGCCGAAACCCTCAAAGGGTTAAACTACATCATTTGAGGCATTTAGTAGTTCTGAGCATATAAGTGACTCTGTGACAACCAGACCAATCCCTTCCTTTTTGCCTGTTCACTCTGTCACATCTGTATAGGTTAAAATCCGGCATCCATATTTCACTGCCAAAGTGATCCTTTATGTGGGTCTCTGTGTAAACCGCAAACATTGCGTATGACTCTGTCAGCAGTCCACAGATGAATGGTATTTGTTGTTCGTTGCTGGCTTTAGACCCTGTATATTTGCAAAGATCAATGTCGTCGTATTGGTGGTTTAGTGTATGATTTTAATCTGGATCTAGAATACACTTCTTTAGCCCACTATTCACAAATTTCCAATAAGGATAATCATACTGATGGTTAATTAACAACACAATAAACACCTAGGACATTTCATGAAGGAAAACTTTTGGTCGTTGGACCTTGTTTGCTCCACACAACTATGGAGCAAATGAGGTCCAATGACCATAATATAAAATGTACTAAGTGTTCGTGTGTCGTTAACCACACCTTTTGGTATTATAAATCAGGTCACCATCTTTACTGAAGTGTCAACTTTACAATCAAATTTCCCCTCACTGCACTATCCTCATCCCTCCTTCAGAGTGCAGTTACTGTATAAACCTAACTGCATATTTTTTAAAACATTAAAATTATGATTGTGGGTCCAGGAGCCGTGACTTGACCCCTGCAACTACAAATAGGTAAGTACTCCCCACCTCTAGGACTCGAGTCCAGTTAACTGGTTTCCCCTGAATCCCTTCATAAAACTTAAATATATGTTTTATGACCCTCGTGGGTTTATCGCTTAGTTATGATTATAATAAAAAGTTACTATTATTATATTTAGGGGAAGCACTAAACACATATGGGGTCATGAAATGCCTGGGAAACGAGAGAGAACTATTACCCAAAGAACTGAGGTAAGGAAGTGTGACTTCAGTTCCTTGATCAAAGGAATGCCCCATTAAAGGGGTAACACCCATTAAATGGCAACACCCCATTAAAAGGGAATATAACTCCATTTCCTTAAATATAAAATGCTGGGAGATTACAGCCAAAAATGATATTAACTACTGCATCATTATTTTATAAATTTATTTTGATCCTAAAATACTGTCAGATTAAAAAAACTGAACAAAAATCACAGTAAACAGCCGACTTAACGGAATGGTACATGGTAAACAGGTGGTCGGTAATGTTAATTGTGTTGGACAAAGCTGCGTAATGGGGCCATACCAAAATTTTTGCCAATAATGATACCATCAGACATGAGCTGATACAGATATTGATACTTTGGCACAGCCCTAATTGACATGAGATTATTTTGCACTGACTGTAATAACAATAGTTATGTAACCAACAAACTTGGTTCTTTGTTTCAGAATCACCTGACCCAGCAGGTTTTGTCCCGTCTATCTTAAGTCTGTTAAATCAAGGGTTACTAAATTGGGGGTTTATTGTACTTAACGTTATATCTCCTTAAAAACCGCCTTTAATACTTAGGGCAAAGGCCTATCACAGTGATGGTTGGCAGTTCTTGACATGAGCCTTGAAGTTTGAACTCTTGACAAACACACACCAACAGTAGTCGCAGGGGTAAGCTGGCTTGTATGGGTGTGTTGCTAGATGACTTATCATAGCCCCACTCTCGTACCTCTGTGGTAAGTCAGGACAATGGGGACATCTGTAAACAAGGAATTATGTTACACACTATGTTGACACTATACATGAGGGCCCTGCATGTACAGCATCTTTCCAGTGTTACATGTTTTCGTTGGCTTTAAACAGCCATTGTTCATTATGTTGACCTGCCTGAGATAGTCCCCAGTGGGTAGTGTCATTGATGTCAGCTAGGCCTGTATACCTTGTACATGTAGAAATACAAGCTATTATTTTTTTTTTCAACAAACTGGCCGTATCCCACCAAGGCAGGGTGGCCTAAAAAGAAAAACGAAAGCTTCTCTTTTTAAATTTAGTAATATACACAGGAGAAGGAATTACTAGTCTGTTGCTCCCGACATTTTAGTCGCCTTTTATGACACGAGTGGCTTAAGGAGGAAGAATTCTGTTCCACTTCCCCTGGAGAAAAGCTATATTATTATTATTATAAAGCCAATGAAAACATGGAACACCAAAAATAGCTGTATATGTGGGGGCCCTCATACTTACATACAATAAAATGGATAACTAAATCATTTTAAACTTGGACACAACTCGCAAAATCATAACACGACGACGATTGCAAACAACCATGGAACAGATGGTGCTTGAACCCATGGCCTGGAGTCTTAGGACTTATTCACCAAGGGTTTGAACCCCACCCATTCCTTGGTTTACCCGGACATGAAATCGGTCAACTTTCTATTAGTGTTGAGAAATGGTTTGCTGCACATTCAAATGCTAAGATACATGATATTTTTAGTGTGTAGTGTAGTGGAAAAGCTTGACCTTAGTGAACCATCACTCCATATTATTGTATTTAAAGAGCAGCACTAAACCTGAAAGGGTCATGCCACACCTGAGGAATGAGATCAGATTTAATAAACCACGGGCGGGATTGAACCCACTGTCAGAAAGTCTTGTTTGCAATCGTGTCATTACGATTTCGTGAGTCATCAGATTTAATCCAAGGAATGAATGACTTCATTTCCTTGGATGAAGGGTGCAATATGAAGTAATGTACTATTGCATAAGTCTTACCTTCCAGGGACAGCTAACGTATCAGGGTCACTATTCACTACATTGTCTTCTATAGTTTCCTCCATCTGTGATTCAACAGCAGTGGGAAAAGGATCCTCGTTACCACCAGACACATCGGACGACATCTTTCGATCTCTGACGATTGCTGCGAGCTCCTCTGCTGATCCTGAAGATTCTTTAGTTAATTTTTCAATCCCACCTGGTCCTTCATTTCCATGTTCATTATTTAACAGCGTTTCCTCCTTTACCACACTTCCAGATTTGGACCGAAATGTGGTAGCAGTTACAAAGCCAGATTGTTCATTTTTAACTGAGAGCAGGTTGCCGGAGACGACTGGCAAGACTGATGAACATCTTGACGATTCTTCTTTACCTATAAGTTAATTATATGCTGTTTATTATACTGCATAGTATAATCAATGTTAGTCGATGAAAACAAACAACCTACTTCTAGAAAAAAAAAAAAAGGGAGAGGAGGGCCCTGCTTTACAGTGTTTTACTAATGCAGCAGTTTTCAATTATAGTCATTCTTCATTTATTCAGACTTCCTACAATAAATATATTCACCATAAGCAAAGGTTGAAAATATTTTAAGGTAAGTAATGTGTGTACTGTATGTGTATGCATCTTTTAGGCCTAGCTCTATTGCTCACTTAATAATATGATAGTGTAAATTTTTTTTTTTTTTTTTTTTTCAACAAGTCGGCCGTCTCCCACCGAGGCAGGGTGACCCAAAAAAGAAAGAAAATCCCCAAAAAGAAAATACTTTCATCATCATTCAACACTTTCACCTCACTCACACATAATCACTGTTTTTGCAGAAGCGCTCAGAACACAACAGCTTAGAAACATATACGTATAAAGATACACAACATATCCCTCCAAACAAGATTTAATACTCATGTGACAGTGAAAAAAAAGGCTATGTTTCACTTTACAGTAGTAGGTTGGAACCTAACTTGCTGTATAAGCGGGGCCCTCCTGTACAGGTATAAACATGATATAAATAGACCATACCCCGGCCGGGATTGAACCCGCGGTCAAAGAGTCTCAAAACTCCAGACCGTTTGCAATTGTGTCATTACGATTTCGTGAGTCATGATATAATGATACAAGTAGTTTAGAAAAGCAACAAGTTGACAAATTAGACACTTATGCAACATTTGGAAATCTTTATTGAGACTGAGGGACTGATTACCTCATTCTCGTCCTCATGTCTCACCATTTTTCTCTATGGACTGAAGAAGCCACTGGCCAGTGGAACTTTCCCAAGATAAAGATTCCCAAGTGTTGCAAAAGTGTTGAACTCTTCAACGAGTAGTTTATAAAAAACAGACGAACAAACACTAAGACATATTAGGGCCTTCATCACTTCCGATCAAATGTTTACTTGCAGTTTCTTTTTAAATCACATGTCCATTTTTTTTTAAAGAACAAAAAGGCACAATACTGTGATTGGCGCAATACACAAATAACCACACACAGGAGAGGGGAGCTTACGACGATGTTTCGGTCTGACCTGGACCATTTACAAAGTGTGACTTTGTAAATAGTCTAAGTCAAACCAAAATGTCATCGTAAGCTCCTCTCTATGTGCAAATTATTTGTGTATCTTTTTTTAACACGCTGACTGTTTCCCACTGAGGCAGGGTCACTCGAAAAATAAACACTTTTACCATCATTCGCACTCACTGTCCTGGCAGAGGCATGCAGATACGACAGTTTAGATGTCCTTCTAAACAGCAGATACCCCCAAACTCCACCTCCAGGACTCAAGTCTAGCTAATATATACTGCAAATATAATAGTGGTATAAAATACCGACAAGTAGAAAAGTAACACGTGTCTTATTTACCCCATAATATACCATATTTTATAACGTCAAAGATGCTATTTTTTCCAAAAATAAGACACAAAAATTTATCGAGCATCTTGGAGGCTGAGGTACATTGTACCTGGCTTTATATAAGCAGATGTGTACCAGGACTGTGGCAGTTGTATTAAACTTACTCAAGCAATCAACACTAAATTCCACCTAAGAATCTACATCTCTATGAACCACAACAATTGCATATGGTAAATGTAAATCACATACAGTTCAGACAATGATAGAAATGGGATATCCAATTGTAATAAATTCACATAAAATGAACCAGAATAAAGCAAGAGAAAGTGCAAAATATACCCAGTGTGGAGTCAAGGTGCAGTGGGGACAATAACGGAACACTGTATCAACATTCGTGGCCCCAGACTATTTAACATCTTACCAGAAGATATAAGAAACACTGCTGGAACAAGTGTAAAAGCCTTCAAGAAGAAACTGGAAATGTATCTTCACCAGATGCCAGATCAACCAAGCTGTGATGGATATGTGGGACAGTGAACCACCACCAGCAACTGCCTAGTTGACCAGGCAAGCACCAGATGAGCCTGGCTTATGGTTGGGCTCTGAGAGTAGCGCGACTCTCGAAACTCATCAAAGGGGAAACTTCATAATGATAAAGTACAGGAGGTCCTAAATAAACAGCGCCTCTGTTTTAGTGATTCATGTTTTCGTTGACTTTCAACTGAGAAACAGTTCCACCTGCCGATGACTATCTCAGGCGGGTGAAACATAATGAACAATGGCTCAATTTGAAGCCAATAAAAATGTGGAACATTGAAAAGAAGATGCTGCATATGCAGGGCCCTCCTGTACAGATACTAATAGAAATGGGACTTCCAATTATAAGGAATTCACATAAAGTGAACCAGAATAAAGCAAGGAACACCTCATAATAATGAAAAAGTATTGACAAATGCAAAGTTCTAAATGTTGGACAGTTAAATAACCATGCCACATATAAACTAAATAATGTAGATCTTAATACTACCAACTGCGAAAAGGATTTAGGAGTTCTGGTTAGCAGTAACCTAAAACCAAGACAACAGTGCATTAGTGTTCACAATAAAGCTAACAGAATTCTTGGCTTCATATCTAGAAGTATAAATAATAGAAGTCCTCAGGTTGTTCAACTCTATATATCCTTGGTTAGGCCTTATTTAGACTATGCTGCTCAGTTCTGGTCACCGTATTACAGAATGGATATAAATTCTCTGGAAAACATACAAAGGAGGACGACAAAGATGATCCCATGTATCAGAAATCTTCCCTATGAGGATAGACTGAGGGCCCTGAATCTGCACTCTCTCGAAAGGCGTAGAATTAGGGGGGATATGATCGAGGTGTATAAATGGAAAACAGGAATAAATAAAGGGAATGTAAATAGTGTGCTGAAAATTTCCAGCCAAGACAGGACTCGCAGCAATGGTTTCAAGTTGGAAAAATTCAGATTCAGGAAGGATATAGGAAAGTACTGGTTTGGTAATAGAGTTGTGGATGAGTGGAAGAAGCTCCCGAGTACAGTTATTGAGTCTAAAACGTTGTCAAGTTTTAAAAATAGGTTAGATAAATACATGAGTGGGTGTGGGTGGGTGTAAGTTGGATCTGACTAGCTTGTGCTGCTGGGTCTGGTACAGTGCTCCATCCTTGAGCGGGGATGACCAGACTGGGTGGGTCATTGGTCTAATCCGGGGGAGGGACATGGACCTGCTCCACATGAGTCAGTAGGCCTGTTGCAGTGTTCCTTCTTTCTTATGTTCTTATGTATTTTCCGGAATATAAAGCACACAAGAATATGAGACATGTAAGATGATGTTTCCAAGCAGTTGTAACAATGTTAGTAAACAACTTTGACCCTGACCTGGAGCATATAAGGCCCAGGCTGATTTTCCAAGACTTTTTGCGGAAAAAAAAAAAAAACACATTTTATATGTGGGAAAACACAGTGTGTATTTAGGCATTTGAGAACTTAGCCAGAAAAAAAAAACTCAAGAAGCCAAAATAAGCTACAGATACCTGAAACTTTCTGCATTTTACATGGAACAGGAGAAGCTTTACTTCTTGGTCTCTTGGCTGGCGCCAGGCACTCGGCACCACTGATGCTGTACTCTGAGCTGAAACTATCTTCTGTCCTCAATACCAATGTCAGAGATGCACTTCAAAGCATCGCATAGAGATGAAATCTCCAGCATTTGAGCAATTCGCATGAACGACTCAAGTTCACCTGCATCTACGGTCGCTTCACCTCTGCAATTAAAAAATTTCATTATCATTGTATTTTTGTTATGTTCAGAAAAAATGCACTAAACTTGAAGAATGGGAAATAGTCAGATTTGATCCAAGGGCATAATAGCTCCATCTCCTTGAATCAAGAGCTCTTCAGCACCCCTGAAAGACACATATATGTACCAATGAGTGAAAAATTTATGCCAATTACAAAGAATTCTAAACATGACTAGTAAAAAAAATATTTTGCTAAAACAACTATTTGATAAAAACAAGAAAAAAAGTAATACAATTATTTAAAAAAAACATGAAATATAATAAAATATAAGAGATTTAGCATTCTTATCATAAAAATGTATTTTTAATTATAGGCAGTAGGATCGTAGACAGCAACCAGCCAGGGAGGTACTACCGTCCTGTGGTAGAAGGTTGGTAGACAACAACCACCCAGGGAGGTACTACTGTCCTGTGGTAGTAGGTTGGTAGACAACAACCACCCAGGGAGGTACTACCATCCTGTGGTAGTAGGATCATAGACAACAACCACCCAGGGAGGTACTACCGTCCTGTGGTAGTAGGTTGGTAGACAGCAACCACCCAGGGAGGTACTACCGTCCTGTGGTAGTAGGTTGGTAGACAACAACCACCCAGGGAGGTACTACCGTCCTGTGGTAGTAGGTTGGTAGACAACAACCACCCAGGGAGGTACTACCGTCCTGTGGTAGTAGGTTGGTAGACAACAACCACCCAGGGAGGTACTACTGTCCTGTGGTAGTAGGTTGGTAGACAACAATCACCCAGGGAGGTACTACTGTCCCGTGGTATAGGTTGGTAGACAGCAACCACCCAGGGAGGAACTACCGTCCCGTGGTAGTAGGATCGTAGACAGCAACCACCCAGGGAGGTACTACCGTCCTGTGGTAGTAGGTTGGTAGACAGCAACCACCCAGGGAGGTACTACTGTCCTGTGGTAGTAGGTTGGTAGACAACAACCACCCAGGGAGGTACTACCACCCTGTGGTAGTAGGTTGGTAGACAACAACCACCCAGGGAGGTACTACCATCCTGTGGTAGTAGGTTGGTAGACAGCAACCACCCAGGGAGGTACTACTGTCCTGTGGTAGTAGGTTGGTAGACAGCAACCACCCAGGGAGGTACTACTGTCCTGTGGTAGTAGGATGGTAGACAGCAACCACCCAGGGAGGTACTACTGTCCTGTGCTAGTAGGATGGTAGACAGCAACCACCCAGGGAGGTACTACCATCCTGTGGTAGTAGGATGGTAGACAACAACCACCCAGGGAGGTACTACCATCCTGTGGTAGTAGGTTGGTAGACAGCAACCACCCAGGGAGGTACTACTGTCCTGTGGTAGTAGGATGGTAGACAGCAACCACCCAGGGAGGTAATACCGTCCTGTGGTAGTAGGATGGTAGACAGCAACCACCCAGGGAGGTACTACCGTCCTGTGGTAGAAGGATGGTAGACAGCAACCACCCAGGGAGGTACTACCATCCTGTGGTAGTAGGATGGTAGACAGCAACCACCCAGGGAGGTACTACCATCCTGTGGTAGTAGGATGGTAGACAGCAACCACCCAGGGAGGTACTACCGTCCTGTGGTAGTAGGTTGGTAGACAGCAACCACCCAGGGAGGTACTACCGTCCTGTGGTAGTAGGTTTGTAGACAACAATCACCCAGGGAGGTACTACTGTCCTGTGGTAGTAGGTTGGTAGACAGCAACCACCCAGGGAGGAACTACCGTCCTGTGGTAGTAGGATCGTAGACAACAACCACCCAGGGAGGTACTACCGTCCTGTGGTAGTAGGTTGGCAGACAGCAACCACCCAGGGAGGTACTACTGTCCTGTGGTAGTAGGTTGGTAGACAACAACCACCCAGGGAGGTACTACCACCCTGTGGTTGTAGGTTGGTAGACAACAACCACCCAGGGAGGTACTACCATCCTGTGGTAGTAGGTTGGTAGACAGCAACCACCCAGGGAGGTACTACTGTCCTGTGGTAGTAGGTTGGTAGACAGCAACCACCCAGGGAGGTACTACTGTCCTGTGGTAGTAGGATGGTAGACAGCAACCACCCAGGGAGGTACTACTGTCCTGTGCTAGTAGGATGGTAGACAGCAACCACCCAGGGAGGTACTACCGTCCTGTGTAGTAGGATGGTAGACAGCAACCACCCAGGGAGGTTTCTACCATCCTGTGGTAGTAGGTTGGTAGACAGCAACCACCCAGGGAGGTACTACTGTCCTGTGGTAGTAGGATGGTAGACAGCAACCACCCAGGGAGGTAATACCGTCCTGTGGTAGTAGGATGGTAGACAGCAACCACCCAGGGAGGTACTACCGTCCTGTGGTAGAAGGATGGTAGACAGCAACCACCCAGGGAGGTACTACCATCCTGTGGTAGTAGGATGGTAGACAGCAACCACCCAGGGAGGTACTACCATCCTGTGGTAGTAGGATGGTAGACAGCAACCACCCAGGGAGGTACTACCGTCCTGTGGTAGTAGGTTGGTAGACAGCAACCACCCAGGGAGGTACTACCGTCCTGTGGTAGTAGGTTGGTAGACAGCAACCACCCAGGGAGGTACTACCGTCCTGTGGTAGTAGGATCGTAGACAGCAACCACCCAGGGAGGTACTACCGTCCTCTGGTAGTAGGATGGTAGACAGCAACCACCCAGGGAGGTACTACCGTCCTGTGGTAGTAGGTTGGTAGATAGCAACCACCCAGGGAGGTACTACCATCCTGTGGTGGTAGGATCGTAGACAGCAACCACCCACGGAGGTACTACCGTCCTGTGGTAGAAGGATGGTAGACAGCAACCACCCAGGGAGGTACTACCATTCTGTGGTAGTAGGATCGTAGACAACAACCACACAGGGAGGTACTACCATCCTGTGGTAGTAGGATGGTAGACAGCAACCACCCAGGGAGGTACTACCATCCTGTGGTAGTAGGATCGTAGACAACAACCACCCAGGGAGGTACTACCGTCCTGTGGTAGTAGGATGGTAGACAGCAACCACCCAGGGAGGTACTACCGTCCTGTGTTAGTAGGATGGTAGACAGCAACCACCCAGGGAGGTACTACCATCCTGTGGTAGTAGGTTGTTAGACAACAACCACCCAGGGAGGTACTACCGTCCTGTGGTAATAGGATGGTAGACAGCAACCACCCAGGGAGGTACTACCGTCCTGTGTTAGTAGGATGGTAGACAGCAACCACCCAGGGAGGTACTACCATCCTGTGGTAGTAGGTTGTTAGACAACAACCACCCAGGGAGGTACTACCGTCCTGTGGTAGTAGGTTGGTAGACAACAACCACCCAGGGAGGTACTACCGTCCTGTGGTAGTAGGTTGGTAGACAACAACCACCCAGGGAGGTACTACCGTCCTGTGGTAGTAGGTTGGTAGACAACAACCACCCAGGGAGGTACTACCATCCTGTGGTAGTAGGTTGGTAGACAACAACCACCCAGGGAGGTACAACCATCCTGTGGTAGTAGGTTGGTAGACAACAACCACCCAGGGAGGTACTACCGTCCTGCCAAGTGAGTGTAAAACGAAAGCCTGTAATTGTTTTACATGATGGTAGGGTTGCTGGTGTCCTTTTTTTGTCTGATAAACATGCAAGATTTCAGGTATGTCTTGCTACTTCTACTTACACTTAGGTCACACTACACATATATGTACAGTGGACCCTCGACTAACGCTATTAATCCGTTCCTGAGAGCTCATCATTAGTCAAAATAATCGTTAGTCAAGTTAATTTTACTCATAAGAAATAATGGAAATCAAATTAATCCGTGGAAGACACCCAAAAGTATTGAAAAAAAAAATTTTTAACACATGAAATATTAATTTTAATACACACAAACTGAAGAAGACATGCACAGTTACATGACACTTACCTTTATTGAATATCTGGTGATGATTGATGGGATGGGAGGAGGGGAGACCATTTATCTTCTTAGTGTTTAGAAGGGGAATCCCCTTCCATTAGGACTTGAGGTAGCAACTCTTTTTCTGGGATTACTTCCCTTCTTTTAATGCCACTAGGACCAACTTGAGAGTCACTGGACCTTTGTCGCACAACATATCTGCCCATATAGGCCTGTACCTCCCGTTCCTTTATGACATTCCTAACGTGTTTCACAACATTGTCAGTGTCACCATTAAACACTTGTTCAGGTTTCAGTCCTTCACTGTCTATGTACTCCTTGAATTCCTGCACATATTTTTCAGCTGCTTTTTGGTCCAAACTGGCAGCCTCACCATGCCTTATCACACTATGTATGCCACTACGATTCTTAAATCTCTCAAACCAACCTTGCTGGCCTTAAATTTTCACTCACATCCACCACTAGTTGCTGACATTTTTCTAATTAAATCGTCATCAACTTCCTAGCCTTTTCACATATAAAATCGCTTGAGAGATCTATCTCCTGCGATCTGTTTTTTCGTTTATTCCATACCAATAACAGTTCTCTAACATCTTCTACACTTGCGAATCTCATTTCAAAAACTAGTTGCACCTTTGGTAAGAACAGCTTCCTGATTGCCGTTTTCTGGCCACAATAGTAGCGAGGTTGATTGGGTTTGTGTACACCTGGCCAGCTCGGAGACATGCACTCCACTTTCATCTTAGAAATGATCTCTTTTTTCATATCCATAGTAATTCTCACCCTTTTTGCTGTAGGGTTGGCACTAGAAGCTTTCTTGGGGCCCATGGTGAGTTATTTTGCAGGTGCAATCACTAAAAAGGCTGTGATAATATGAAATGTTCCGATTGTATGCTTGGAAGCGACCGCGGTTGCTGGCTGGCTTGTAAACACTGGCCAGAAGTGGACGCGTCTCAGACGGAAGGAATAGTGTTGGTCGAGTTTTTTAGCGCTAATCGAGGCAAAATTTTTGCGATAAAATGTATCGCTAGTCAGATTTATCGTTAATCGATGCCATCGCTGATCGAGGGTCCACTGTACAAGCATATATATACACAC